TTAAATAGACCCATTTCAGTTTTCTTTTTAATTTTTAAAATTTTATTTGTGTGTGTGTGTGTGTGTGTGTGTGTATGTGTGTGTGTGTGTCAGAAGAGAGTGTGGGCCCCTTAGAGCTAGAGCTATAGGAGTTTGTAAGCTGTCTGGTATGGATACTGGGATCTGATCTCTGGTCCTCTGACAGACAGTTAACGGCTCCTACCCACTGAGCCTCCAGGCTGGTTTCCGTCTCACTGAGTTGACCTGGGCTGCTGAGCGTGATGTAAGTGTTTGGCACACATGGCGTCGCCGTCCACAGCCATCACATGGTTTCTCGTTGATTCTGTTTGGCTGTTTCCTTACCATCCAGTATGTTTTTACAAGTTTCATGTTGGCTTCTCACAGTCACCGCAGTTAGGTCCCCAGGTGTCTCTGCAGTCCCTGATACAGGAGCCTCATCTTATCTCATCCCATCTGCCTGCTCCCTTGAGATTTTCAGCAGCTGAAAGGAAAGCTTTAGTGGTGTCCCTGAGTTGTTTAATATTTATGTATACTAAAGTGTAAGTGCTAGTGCAGTACATGCCGAGATCCTGCTGTGTGCTACCAACACCGTTCTAGGAGTTGGGGAGATATGACTGAAGGACACAAACACACTCACACAATAAAGACACTTCACACCCTGTTTCAGAGCCTGTTTCAGAGGCTATAACTGACCCTAATATTATTAAAGAAATTGAAAGTAAATTGCAGCTCAATATCATTTTTGGACATTTATATAAAAGTCTTCAATCAGAATACCAAATTGAAGCCAGGAGTACCTAGAAAAGAACAATACACACATTGCTGAGTTTATCTCATGAATACAGGATTGATTTAACATTCCATCATCAATCAGTGCAATTCATGACGTAAGCAAAATCAAAAAAAGAAAAGTGGGGGGAGTTGTTTCAGTAATCAAAAAAGCCTGAGCAAGCTTAGGAATAAAAGACAATTTACTCAGTTTGACCAACAGCATAGCAAAAATCTTTCTAAATGATGTTTTTTTTTAAAAAACAAAAATGGTTTTTAGAGTTGAAGAGGTGGCTCAGCAGTTAAGAGCACTGGTTGCTCTTCCAGAGGTCCTTTGTGAACATGGAGTTCCCAGCAACTACATGGTGGCTCACAACCATCTGTAATGGGATCTGATGCCCTCTTCTGGTATGCATGAAGATAGCATACTCATATACATTAAATATAAATCTTTTAAAAAATATTTTAGACTTATTGTATGTGAATGAATATTCTGCGTGAATGAATGTGTGTGCTTGCTACCTGTAGAGGCCAGAAGAGGTGTCAAATCTTTTGGAACTAGACTTACAGATAGTTATGAGCAGCCATTTGGATTCTGAGAACCCAGCCTGGACCTCTGCAAGAGCAGCAAGTGCCCTTGACCACTGAGCCATGTCTCCAAACCCCTACATGACAGATATGAATCTAGAAGAAGAAAAGGATATCTGACCGTGCCATTTATATAAGCAGTTCTGCTACAATCTAGTATGCTTTCCTTAAAACAAAACAAAACAAAAACCACTGCTTTTTAAGATTGTGCAGTTAAAAACCACAGGACCTTTAGGGACAAGTCCAAAGCCTTTCCACAACATAGTTTTCCTCAGGCAAGTGGCTAAGTGGTATGTAAATGCTGCAGTAAGGAAGGCATTTCAAGTTGGAAACCACCAAAAGTTAGCTCTGGAGACGGTAGCCTGAGCATGTCAGCTGGGGAGCTGGGGAGGGTTAGCTGGAGGCAGGAGTTGTGATGGCTGTGCCTGTGAGTGTGTTGGTGACATGAAGTCTTCTTAACATGGAGGCTCCAGATAGTCTCCACTTGTACTCAGCTCTGTGTAGCTGGGTACAGAATGCCATGTGCACCTGCTGTGTCTCCTGGACAGTATTTGCATAAGTACACACAGAAGTCGAGTTATGCTCATCCTCTTACCTCATGTGTCAGTTGCTTTGGAACAAATGCAAACGATTTGAACAGAAAGTTTGTAGAACCTATGAATTACCAATAAATACATGAAAGGTGCTGATCGTCTTTAGTCATCGGTGTAATGTAAATGAAAACCAGAGAGAGAGATTACTTTACACGGCCAAGAATGACTGAAATGAAGAAGGCTGATGATACCCATGACATTGAGCCCAGAGCTGGGAAGGTTGCTGATCAGAGCTTAACCCTGCCCTGTCACTGCAAGAAAGTAGTTCAGCAGTATTGAAATGCCATTAAACATACACCTAGATCAATGGACGACATTACTGTCTGTAGCTGTGTGTTCAGGAAGATGAAAAGACATCTACTAGGACACTTGCATATTACTGTTCACAGCAGCCTTCTTAACCAAGTAAAAGTTGGAAATAATCATGCTAGCAACAGGGTTCCAAGGTGAAACACAATAGTCATTCACTGACACCTTAGTAACAGAAAGGAGTCTGTTTCTGATGTGTGCAGTCACGTGAATAAATCTTAAGAGCATACTAATTCAGTGACACTGTTTCATATGTGATTTATTTGTGAGCTGTTATTATAGGCAAAGCTGCTGCAGCAGGTCATGTAGTGATTGTTGGAGTAGGAAAGAGAGAGCCTGCTGCTCAGAACACGAGGTGCCTTTTTGTAAGCTTCAGTAGAGAGTGAGGGGACTACTAGTTGCAGTTCATGTTTGCTGAGGAATGAGAGAATGTGGTTTTTTATCTGTTGTAATGTTCTCTATCTTGTTTGGTTGATAGTTATTCAAAATTCATCTAAAACTTCCTATGTATCATTGTATATGAATCGTATCTCAATAATTTGACTTATTTAAGAAAGATACTAATAAGAAAGATTCTGAGAAGTGAGGTCATTATCTCTGGTCTATAGGCTAGAAGAGCTCTGTTGTCTGTGGATATGTTGGTTGGCCCCCCAAACTGTAAAACCAGTGACTCTGAATTCATGGTCCTCAAATGTTGAAATTACAGGCATGTGTCATGGTGTCTGACATTTAACTTTTGTCAGCTTTTGGCTTATGGGTGGGGAGGCACAGAAGGAGTGGGTTATAAGAGTGCATAACCCATGCCGGCCTGAGATTTGCATCCCTCTGGCCACTACCTCCTGAGTCTGGAAGTATAACAGGTATGGACTTACTTTTCCCAGTATATTCTTTCTTTTCTTGAACAATACATTAGAAGAAATACTTGGGGGAAAATGCCCTTCCCTCTCAACCCTATTATGTACACCAAAGTAATCTTGGGAAACTTTTTTTTTATTTTTATTAAAGTAATAAACTATGAGTTTATATTTTTCATTCTAAAAGCTGTGGCTTCTACTAGGGGTGATGGTAATCCAACAGTGAGAGCTCTTGTTTAGTGACATACTTGATTCTTACACGGGACATGCAAATGTATTCCTTAGTTGCTTTAACAGAGTAGTCTCAGTCTTATGGTATTGCTAATAGATTGAATTTTTTCACTTACTTGTAAGTGGTGCTTTGATTTAATGCTGTTCAGTTACTTATAACCCATCTAGATACATTGCAGACAATGAATATTCTAATTAAATAATGCCATTATAATCTCTAGAAGGAGGGTCTAAGAATTTAGCTCAGTGGTAGAACACAGAACACAGAAAGCTTTGGCGCTTAGAATGTGGTAGGGAGTGTATGTGCAAAGTAATGAAAAGACACCCCCACACCTCAGATGAATGGATTTCTAAAGGGAATCTTTCTGAGTATCCTGTAAAAGTGAAATTAAATTTACTTTGCCATGATTTCAATTTGGAAGATAAATGAGAGTAAGCATGGCATCACACTGTATCAGAGAGAGCTTGTTTGGATCAGGAAGATAAGCGTGTGTACACAATGGCTGATGCACATTAGGAAAGATGGAAATGTAGTGGATCAAGGATCTGTTGGTAGTTTCACTGTGGTCTTTACTCTCACTTGGGTGGATGTGAAAGAGATTCCTCACGGTGGGGGAGGCGTTCTCACTCTCTGGGGTACGTCAGTCAGCTGCTTTGGCTGTATAAGTAGCTCAGCTCTCTGTTCTGTATTACTGCCCTCCCTTGTTTCCTGAGTTCCTGTCATTGAGGATTTCAAGACCTTCCTAGATTGAATGGACCTTCTTTTGAAGGTAGGTATAGAGGAATAGGAGTACCTTGTACATACCTCTGGTTCCAAAGGCCATGCATTTGTGATTGCTGGTGTCAGTTGTAGGTATCATACATGTGATATGCTTAGGACCATACAAAAGACAACCTCACAGATGAGGATTATTGGGAACAGTACAGAGTGTGTCAAATAGGCAATACTTAGTGCGTTAATTTTTGAAGTAGTTGTAGCTATAATGATAAATACGGCATGCTGTGAACATAGGTGAGTGGGGAAATGTAGTTCTTCTGAGAAGCTGATTCATGTCTGCACACTTGTTTTGTATGTGTTTCCCTTTGATAGAGTTTTCCAGAGAAGGACCTTCTCCACTGTCCATCCAAGGACGCGGTTGAGGCTCACTTTATGTCGTGTATGAAAGAAGCCGATGCTTTGAAGCATAAAAGTCAAGTGATCAACGAAATGCAGAAAAAAGACCACAAGCAGCTCTGGATGGGACTGCAGAATGGTAACTACACAGTACCTGATTCCTAAGTCTGTAGACGGTAGTACACAGCCATCACCTGTGAGCAGGTCGTGCTTTAGCTGTAGGAGTAGGAGTTAGCCCTGTCCTCCAGGCCCAGATCTGCATAGTATCTACTCCAGTTCAAACCTGCAAAGTCATCTCTTCCATGTCAGCGTGCCAGTGTTGCTGTGTTCCTGATTCTCTCACGGGCTGGTCACGTAGCTTATGACAGCATAAACCTTTTTGTTTAGCTTCTGGAGAAAGAGTATGGTCCTCGTTCCTTAGCCATGGCTCGCTTTTGGATCATGCCATGCTGTGATTTTGAAACTGTTCCTAAGGCCGTAGCTTGGTTGTTAGAGTGCTTGCTTGGCATTCAGAAGGCTGGCTTGATCCTCAGTGTTGCGTAAGCCGGCATGGTGGCGCGTGTACTCAGGAGGAGGACACAAGTAGATCAGAAGTCGGAGGTCATCAGCTGTATGGCAAGTTTAAAGCCAGCCTGTGCTACCTGAGAGCAGGGGTTCAGAGAGGAAAAGAGAGGGGAAGGAAAGAGGAGGAACAGAGAGTCAGTGAGACAAGAAGAGAGGGGAAAAACTCCTGTTGGAATATGAGGTCATCTGCATTTCTATCTTTGGAAGATCTGTAGCCTCTTACTTTTGCTTATGTTGACTGTCCTGTAATGCTAACAGGTTGGTTTTAGAGACCTGACTTTACCTGGATCCAGGATGTATGCTTAAGCAATACCAACCCCTTAATTATATTGTTCAAATTTTAGCTACTGCGGCATATTAACCATAAATAATTATATAAAATACAATTTTGTTGCTAGTTTTCTGTAAGTGTGTATATGTATCTACATGCTCTATATCTGCATTGGTGCACATGCCTTAAGTCCATGCTTGTATAGGCCAGAGGAAGGTGTCAGATCCCTGGACCTGAAGTTACCAGCCATTGTGAGTGCTGGGGGATGAGCTTGCATCCTTTGGAAGATCTTTTAATCACTAAACCATCTCTTCTGGTCTACTGCTATCATTTTAGTTGGTTGTCATTACATAATGACAGATGTGCTCATGGTGGGTGACAAATCACGTTACATCTTAGTGTCTGTTATTAATCACTATGCATTTGCCATTCACAACATAAACAGCAGGGCATATGTAAGGTGCTGCAGCTTCCTTGTGTGCTTTTGGGGATAAGAAGAAATGGCGCAGACACTGCAAGTGCAGCTCTCGTGTGCCCTGAGCAGAAGACAGTGAGGACTGTGGACTGGCAGCAGGAGGAACCTCATGCAGGAGAATTCATAACTTTGCTACGCTTTACAAAGAAATTAAAGGTGTGCGTGTGGAGTGTTTGGGGAGCAGTCACTTGTGCATGCTTCTGCAGAACCAAACGTTGACTTTGGGTATCGTTCTCCATTGCTTTTCCCCTCACTTGCTCAAATAGGGCCTCACTGAATTTAGAGCTCTCCATTTTAGACACTGGCTGGCCAGCAAGCCTGGGATCTGCCTATCTTTCTGTCCTTAGTGGTGGAGTTACATGTCAACATTACCATGCCTGGCTTTTTCATGTGGGTGCCAGGGACAGAATTCAGGTCCTTGTTCTTGAATAGCAAGCATCATACAAGAGAGCCATCTTCTCGGCACATTCTCTTGTTTTCTTTCTTTCTCTCTGTTTCTTTTCTTCCTTTTTTGAGACAGAATTTCACTGTTAAAATTACTTATACTCAGCCTTTTAACTTTGCTATTTATGAAATAGTAGCAAATAGAATATTGTAACAATTTGTGTAAGATATTCAATTCCTGGAATGATGCTATCATAGCCCTGTTCCTGTGTGGCTCATTACCCTCCTGCTTCAGCCTCCTAAGTGCCTGGAGTACAGGTGCAGGCGTGAGCCCGCCTTCCCTGCCACCAAGATTACTTTCCATGTTTGAGCCATGTGTCACTTTTCCAGTGTGCATGGATAGTTAGGACAGTCCTGTATCTTGTATCTTTCTGTTTGCCTTTGGTCAAGAAGAAAATCCAGTGTAAGTTCTTTCTCATTGACACTGCACTGTTGACCAGTCAGTGTGGCTATTGGATATTTACTAAACTCTACAAAGTTCAGAGTGTTGTGACTTCAGTGACCTCAGTATGTAAGGCACACATTTTATGATGTATATGGTAATCATTTCTCATCCTTCTGTTGGATTCACATTTGATATGGGCTACATGGAATTGTCACATAGTTTTGTATTTGGAATATATAACCTGGTAATGACATACTTGTTTTCCCATCAAAAATTGTCACCTCATAATTAAGAGGATTTACAACCTAAAGAAGGTACACTGCATGCTTAGTTGTGGTAGCAGTACATGCCAGTAAACACAGCACTTAGGGGTGGAGATCAGCTAGAAGAGACCCTGTCACACAGAAGCTAAGGCTCATAGAGAGAGAAAAGATGAAAGAAAAATTGACTTCAAGTAATCCCAGACCTTGAGGGTGGAAACAGGAGGACCAGGAGTTCAGGGCCATCTTATCTATCTAGTCAAGTGTCAAACCAGATTGGACTACGTGAGGTCTTATTTCAGTATTACTACACACACACACACACACACACACACATCAGAGACAGCAGGCTGGCTCAGTGGGTAAAGGCACTTGCCAACAAGCCTGACAGCCAGAGCTCAGCCCTGGCATGCATGTAATGGAAGGAGAGCACTAGCTTCTGTGATTATCCTCTCCCTCCAAGCCATGGTATGCACAGATAGACAGGCATAACTCCGCTGATGTTAACTGTGGAATGCTTGTGAAGGTGGATGCTTCATTGTCTTTCTGTCTGGAAGACTGTCTCTCCTTTTCTGGCTGATGAGCTTCTCGTGTCTACAGTTTCTGTATACTTACCTTTTGTAGGATGCCTGGTGTTTGTAGGGTTAACAGTGTGTATCTAACTTGTCCTGACAGTGCACAGAAGGTGTGGTCCTCCAGCACCTAGGGACACAGAGCCAGCTCCTGGGAGTACAGTCAGCAGGGGAGGGTGTGTGCGGGGTGGGGGCTGGGGTGTGCTGCCTTGTCCACACCTTTGCTCTCCGGTGTTCTACACTACTGTGTCTTCTGTATTGTACTGCATAATGCTCGAGGGCTCAGCATGTGTCTTACATTTTTTTCCTCAAAACATGGTGTTATCTTACAGAGTAAAAGACAAAAGTTTTGATTTACTTTTTTATCTCTTTCTCACAAGACCAGGAAGTACTATTAAAGTGTTTCATAAATAGTGCAATATTCTGAGTTTAAATTATTTATGGAAATGGATTTTTATATTTAAGGACTTTTATTTGGGGGAGGGGTGTGACAAGGTCCTGATTGTTTGTGAGGTCATAAAGCTGTTGTCACCTTCTTGTTGATGCAATTGTAAATTTGTCCAAATTCAGACAAAGCAGGTGGTCCACTTGTCCCACTCAGAGCTGCACCTGGAGAACAGCACCACCAAGCACAAGTTTCATCGATTTTTGAATACTTTCAAATGCTAATTTTAATTTAGAAACTCTCTGAAGGAGAAATAAGAAAAGCTTCTGAAACCAAGAAAACTCATTTAAGGCATAATGTGCCTTTCAGTTTTTAATAGGCTTTCATTTTAGATACGAGAATGTGCTACCTCTCTGAAACAGTTCATGGTACCAAACAGAAAAGAAGGTAGCATTTGTATCTATGAGACAGTTGTCAGTCCCTGTGGAGGACTGCTGTTCAGCATCACACTGTATGGGGAGAACTGAGGAAATCGCTACAAGATAACAAGAATAATACAAGGCTCGGCTTTTCGCCAGCCTTCTCTGAGTATACCTACTTCTTTTTCTATTTGGGTTTTTGAGACAAGGTTTCATATAGTTCAGGCTAGACAGATGTTTAGCCCCCCCACCCCCCGCCTCAGCTTCCAAGTGATGGCATTGTGGGTGTGCGATACCATGCCCAGGGTGAGTCAACACTTTAGAAAAATGATGATTTTAAAGTTCCATACACTTGGAGATAAAAGTAATATTTGGCTGTTAAATACACTTACAATTTGTATTACTTATCAAATGTGGTTAGACTTTTTAATTAGCCTACAGTGTGCTATTTGCCACACACACCCCTCTACTGCTTTTTTTGAGACATGGTTCTAGTATATTCTGGCTTCAACTTAGTATCCTCCTGCCTCAGCCTCTCAAATGTAGGGGTCACATGCATGTGCGAACACACTCAGCCCCTGTTTGCCATTTTTAGCATAAAACTGGATTTAAGAGGAAATAGGAATTATGCATGACAGGTGATACCTTAGAGACACATGTGCTCGAGGCGGATGTTTTATGTTTTCATCTTGCTGGTTTTCTTGGTCTGCGCACTGGATTGGCTCAGTTCTATAGCTCCGCCTGTGAGCGAGTCAGGTCACTTTTTTTCTCTGGAGCTCCCTTATAAATGCAAAGATGGGATCCTAGTAACTGATTTTTTTTTTTCCCTCAGTGATTTTTCAGGACTGCCTGGATGAAATAAAGAAAGGCATTTTTAAATGAATGAGATGTGAAGTTACTAAGACTAAGATGGTTATAATGGAATACAAATTATAAAGGTTAAGTTCTAGACATCAGTGCAACTATTGAGTGTGGTTTTCTAGTAATTACCTTTACTTTCTAAGTGTCTTTGCCAGGAGATTGAAGCCAGGCCTGCCAGGTGGTAAAATGAGCTCAGTTTCCAGTCAAAGCATTTGCTCATCTGAGCTCCTCTGTCACCTCCCCACTGGTCATTGATTCATAAAACGGATAGACGTCTTATAATCGGTTTTATAATCCAACACTTAAGTTTGGTGAAGGTATATGTGTCTGCACATGGGTATGCCACATGCGCAGGTGCTCTTAGAGGCCAGAGCTGGCAGACCCTGTGGCACTAGAACTATAAGTGGTAGAAGTGGCCTGATGTGCTTGCTGGGAACCCAGGAGCTCATGTCCTTCGGAAGAGCAGCAAGTAGAGGGTAAGCACTGAGCCAGCATTCCAGGCT